CAATAAACAGCTTTCTGAAGCTAGTTTGCGGACAACGATCTCATCGACTGTGTCAAAGATATTCTTTCTGTGCATTTTCTGATTAAACTTTATCCAAGCACTCTTTTTACTGTGTCCATATTCTGGCACGTTGTGTTCCTCCATTTTCTCAAATGGAACTGATATTTCTCTCAAGGGAATTTATCAACCATCACATCAATGTGGCGAGGTAAGTTGTTTTTCTTTATTCGTACCGCACACGAATCTTGCTTTGTGCTTCTGTACTAAGGACAATGTTGTAAAATTAACATCAGGGACGTGAACCTTTCGTCTCATATGAAGGTTGAAAGCTACTATAACTTAGACAGCATATGAAGTAAAAATCATGTCAATAAAATAAGTATCTGATAAGACTTGGGCAAGTCGTTACTGGGAATAAAAGTAAAGGCTGAACATTTTTAGTGCCATGTGCTGTCAGTTATTTTTGCAGTAAAAGTTGTAATACTTTAGTTAGGTGAACAATAGTTGATCAACCATTGCAGTCATTCTTTCCACTGTACATTTAGTAGCTTGTGGATAACATAATGGTGGAACACTACTGAGTTATATTTTAGCACTGTAAGAATAGGAACAGTAGATTAGAATGTGACCGGGTAAACAAAGATATAGTGTCTGCTCTCTTTCTTCAAACTAACATTTGAAAAGTAGGTCAGAATTTATAGAAAGTTATGCAAATTCTTACCACAGAGCACCTGGGGTTATTATTCCCAGGACCTTACTTCAAGGTAGTACATTCAAATTTGCATCAAATCAATGAATGATAAAGTTAGTTGCCTCTATTATACAGTTGCTATGGTTTCTATTTGATAATCTGTAGTCATTAATCAGGACAATGGGAAGTTGGGTCCGAAAAATTACGGGGAACACTTGGAACAGGCCAAAAATAATTTTCCAGTATGTAAATGTGGATTCGATATGTTGGATGGTGGTTTTCTCAATGACTGTAAGGTACTGTGACGGTGTTAGTAAGATAACTTAAAACGTTTCATTAGTACTGTCGCTGTGAATAAGAAAACTAAGTCGGGTCATTTTTGTTGTGCTTATTCTTTTCAGAAGCTTGAAATTCAAAAGGGTGCACAAGATTTTAACATTCCAATAATCAAAAGCAACAGAAAGTTAGTTGCTACTGAAAATGGAGGTCTACATAACCCTTCTCCTTTGGTTTTCAATTCTGTATGGAATGCAAAAGAAGTAAAGCAAGGGACAGAAAAGTTCAATTACCCTGTATGCTAGGGTATTCAAAGGCCAAAAAATGATGAGGATATCGCTTTTATGAGTGTAATTGTACCCTCTTAGTCCCTTTAACTTATAGGAGAAATTAACTAAGGAACTATATCGTACCAACGTGTGTCATTTTTGATATTACATGACTGTGAGAGACTTATTACAAAAATGGAGAAATTAACTAAGGAACTAAATGCGCCTGACTAAGATTTATATTACATGATTGCAGGATAGTAGGGCAGCAGGTAGGATGTAACGACCCGACCGGTCGTTTCGAGTTCTAACGCTCCGTTCAGCAGTCGGAGGCCATGAACAGCTTCACATTAGGTATTATGACTTGTACGCGCAGTCGGAATTAAATTTCAGGAAGTTCAAAGTTGATTCAGGAAGAGAATTCTCATTTCAGAAGCTTAAAGCTGAAAGAATGAACTAGGATTGGATTTTTTGAGTAAACAAACTCGGAATCAGGATCTGAAGGCTCCAGCAGGTTCGTATGATGATTTCGGACTTGGGCGTATGCCCGGTTCGGGTTTTGGATAACCCGGGAGCGTTTTGGCGCCTATTGTGGAAGTTAGCATTTTAGGAGGAATTTCATAAGTTTGGTTGGAAGTGCATTTTAATTTTATCAATGTCCGTTTGGGATTTCGAGACTGCATATAGCTGCGTATGGTGATTCTGGAGTTGGGAGCGCGATCGGAAGTGAATTCGGAGGTCCGTAGGTCGTTTTGGAGCAATTTGGCTAAAGATAGAATTTGAAGGTTTTTGAGAAGTTTGACCGGAGGTTGACTTTTTGATATCGGGGTCGGAATCCGATTCCGGAAGTTGGAGTAGGTCCGTAATGTCAAATATGACTTGTGTGCAAAATTTGAGGTCAATCGGACATGATTTGATAGGTTTAAACATCGGAAGTAGAAGTTTGGAATTCTAAAGTTCATAAAGATTGAATTGGGGTGTAATTCATGATTTTCGTATTGTTTGATGTGATTTGAGGCCTCGAGCAAGTCCGTAATGTGTTATGGGATTTGTTGGAATGATTGGTTGGGGTCCCGGGGGCCTCGGGTGGATTCCGGGTGGTTAACGGATTGAAAAATAGATTTTTTGGGAAGGCTGGTGTTGCTGGTTGCTGGTATTTCCGCTTCTGCGGAAATGGGACCGCAGAAGCGGCCCCGCAGAAGCGAGGAAGTAACCGCAGAAGCGGTTTTGGTTGGAGCTGCAGGGATCCGCAGATGCGGTTGGGTTTCCGCAGAAGCGGACCGCACCTGCGATGTGGAGAACCGTAGAAGCGAAAGGCCTAGACTTGGATGGGAGCCGCAGAAGCGGCAAGATATCCGCAGAAGCGGAACCACTTAAGCGATAAAATTTCCGCAGAAGCGGAAAGGACTGAAGGCAGAGACTTGTTTTAAGTTCGAGGTTGAGTTCATTTCAACCCCATTTTTCTTCCATTGGAGTCGATGGGGAGCAGCTTGGAGGTGCCATTTTCGTCACTTGTCATGAGGTAAGTAATTTATGCTAGCTTTGAGTTAAATACAAGGTTTATACATGGATTTAGGCAAGGAAATTATAGAAATTTGGGGTTTTGGTGGAAAACCTATGAATTTATATTTCTTCGAATTTGACCACGTATTTTGAGTATGGGATTAGGAGAAAATCATATATTTGAGTTCCTAAGGTCATGGGTAAACTTTATCTTCGAGAAATTTCGGATTCCGGGNAAGCGGAAATGACTGGAAGCAGAACCTTGTTTTAAATCGTGGGATTGAGTTCACTTCTCCCATTTCTTCATGGCTTGGGCGATTTTTGGGGAGCTTCAAGAGAGGATTTTGTCGTCAATGTTGAGGTAAGTTATCCCCACCACTTTCGAGTTGAATATATCAATTATATATGGGTTTAAGCATGGAAATTAGAGTAATTATTGAGGTTTTGGTTGAAAACCTAGAAAATTATAATCTTGGATTTTAGCCACCATTTTGAGTATGGAATTAAGAGAAAATTATGTATTTGAGTTCCTAAGGTCAAGGGTAATCCTTATCTTCGAGAAATTTCGGATTCCGGGCACGTGGGACTGAGGGCATTTTTGTCAACTTTTCGTTCGGGGTTAGGAATTGTTATAAATTGGGTTGTAAAGTATAATTGAGCATATATTAATGGATTTGTATGATCGTTGGCTAGTTTTGGAGCATTGTGCGTTGGTGCAAGTCTTCGGAAGAATGTAGAATGCCGGTTGTGGATCTTCGGAGCGAGGTGAGTCTCCTTTCTAATCTTGTGAGGGGGAATTTACCCCATAGGTGAGTTAAATTGGTTATGTGCTCCTATTTTTGGGGGCTACGTACGCACGAGGTGACGAGAGTCCGTGCGTAGCTACTATTATGCTGTTGTCCGGGTAGTTAGGACCCAAAAATATGTTATACTTGGATTACTGTGAACCCATTGATAGTTTGAAGTGTTTCAATCACCTTGAATTGGTAAAGGAATTTAAAAAGAGATTTAATATTAAATTTTCCCTGAAATGTTAAAAAGAGAAATTTGTCTATTTGGTTGATTATCCCCGATAAGCTCTTAATTTCCTACTTGAGCATGTATTTTATGTGTGCCTGCGTCGCATGGATGATTCGCGAGCAGGATATGTGTTTGTTTATGGAACGGGCCGAACGCCTCGGTGAGAATAGATGCATCTATGGTTCGTGCCGCTCGACCCTCGGCAGTGCACAATTTACATTTCTGTTGGAGCGGGCCGTCGACCTCGGCGTGATTTGCACATGTCTGTGTTGTTGTCTTGAACTTCATTAAGTTATTATTGCCCTTTTGTGGCTTAAAAACATTTGGATTATATTTAAAGAGAAATTCTGGAAATTTACCTATGAAGGAATTACGTGTTTACTTGTTTCCTCTAGCTGGATTAGAATCATGTTTATAAAATAAATCCACTGTTTAGTATGGACATATTAAGGATGAATCCTTACTGGATCATTAGAGAGCGTCAAAGTTGACCATCTCGTCTCTACCCCTTCGGGATTAGGCGGGATACTCACTGAGTACACGTTGATTACGTACTCATACTACACTTCTGTGCATTTTTGTTGCACAGGTATGTATACCTCTAGCAGCCTACTGGGCGTGGCAGCATGGACGACTCTGGGACTAGGTGAGCTGCATTGTTCGAGACGACCCGTAGCCAGTGTAGTTCCTTTCAGTATTTTTTTATTTATTCCCTGTCCACTGTATTTCGGACAGATGTTGTATTTTACTTTCCCTATCGATAGTTGCTCATGTACTTGCGACACCGGGTTTCTGGGATTGGTTTCAACGGATTTGTACTAATTGTTATTATTTAAATTTGAATTCAAGTAGTGAACTTTTATTTATGAAAATGGAAGGAAAAACCTTAGATTTTCATAAGTATTAAAAGAGGAATTAATTGATAATTTAGTTGGCTGGCCTGACAAAGGTGTCAGACGCCACCACGACCCTTAGTGGATTTTGGGTCGTGACATAGGAGATCTGCCAATCACTGCAGGATACTAAGTCAGCAGGACCAATGTAGCATCCTCATTCCCGGAAATCGCATCAATTTTTAGTATATGTAATATAAGTAATAACTCAACTCATGATTGATAAAGAAAATATGAAGTTGCATAGGTAGAGTCATTTCACCATATAACATATAAAACGCAGAACATTGAAGCGACATAAGTACAAAATATATAAGTGCACAGCTAGACGCATTGCAGTAAAACCAATCAGGGATTCTTTTCTTTCTTTATGACCTTGCGAACCTTGTTGCTAGAGAGTTGAGAATTGAATTCATCATCTGGTACTGCTGTTGATGCCTTATTAGTGGATCTAGTCTTGTTGTCATACGTCTTCAAAGGACATATTTTTACATTGCAAGCATCACCATCTTCTAACACCGACGATCCACTTTCTGATACGCTTTTATCTATGGGAGTTTGCAAAATAGACTGCTGACTTTCGGCCATTACATCCTTGCAACAACCAAAAAATTTAATACCAGTTGGAGAGAAAAACTGTTGTTACTTACATAGTTTTGACTATAATTGTTAAACAAATAAATAATGCTGTAAAACTTTAAATTTCATGGAATTTACCTTGAAAAGCTTATCTCCACTTGAGCTTTGTCCATCAAAAAACTTTGAATCCTGTTAAACGGAAATTAAATAGAACATTCATTTAATGAGTGCAAAAGTATTTATACTTAAATTTTGTGTTAGGAGTTTTGTGAGGTAAAAAAATTTACGGTGATATTGTCTTCGAATAAATTGTGGCTGTATTCCTTTAAAAGGTCATCATCATCACTAAGCTTAAGAACTTTGTAGACTTCGACCTGAGACTCAATATTCTCTTGCTTAACAATAACCTTGAACATTAATTTTTTATAAAGAATAGCGTCCAGTTCACTTGGATAAGAACAGTCAGCATCCGCAAGTGAATTCTACACCAAAATTCATAGGTTAGAAGTATTTTTATAGTTAATCAAAATAAGTTTTGTAGTATACCTCAAGGGAGCTTCCCTTAAGTTCTTTTGCAGACCTCCCTATAAGCTGCATAGCCTCTCGATTCCAAAGCAACAATGAGATAAAAGCGGTTCCATCCATAACTCGTACTTGAAGCCTATACCTGCAACTCAATTTTGATTAAACTTATGGTTTTATTTTAATATATAAAATTTTAAATAAACATAGATAGTAATTACCTGTGAGTACATGAAAATTGATCTTCATTGCATTTCTTACAAAAGTATTTATTTCCAACTTTATCAACCTTTCTACTACACTTGTTGCATGCCAAGTATGACCATCCCCGGTCAAGTTCCAAACTTACCAATTCTGCCGCAATCCAACAGCTACTTTCCTATTTAAAAAAAACAAAAGTTTATTGTAAATGCAAAACAGAAAACATAAAGTACATATAATTAACAAAGTTAATTAAACTCACTTGAGTGCACTGAACTAAATCCCTAATAGTTTTAAACTCTACAATTCCTTTGTTTAACTCATCTCTATTAGAGTAACTTTGCTGAGAACTTGTTTGAGTGATTCGCTCAATGTTTGACGGACGTGCTGTAAGTAACCTACATAAGTCAAAAATTATTATTTATAAATAGTATTGTTATATTTTATGTGCATAATGAAAAGGAGTATACACGTGACAAACCTCGATTTAAATTCAGTAGACTGTGGCAACGTAGAGTTTATCCATATCTTTGTCTGAAACCCCGCTCCGGTCGTGATGGCGCCTCTCGTGAAGACCAGGCCAGCCAGACCATTTCAAAACACCACTTTTAAGCAGTTAAACAGTTCAATAACAGTTCGAATATGATTTAATGATATTAATTAACGTAATTACAACCCAACACAGCCCTAATCGGGGTGTCACAAGTCACGAGCATCTATAAGAATGTAATTTCCACTTTACAAGTCTAGAAATACTCTGAATAGGAATAGTGAATAACATAGGAAAACAGTGGTGCTGCGAACGCTGGCAGTCACCTCGCTAAAACCTCTACAACTCTGCCTCCACGCAGCCAATACCCGCTACCGGGTGAATAAATACCTGCAACTGCACGCGAGGTGCAGGGAGTAAAGTGAGTACTCCAACTCAGTGAGTAATAAAAATAAATAATAACTGAGCAGTAAGAAATCACGTAAAGCAAACCATCATGTTGTATAGAAGCAGGGTCAATTCTTTGAGAAAACAGTAAGGCTGTGAAATCTTTAGAAATATCTTGGCTCAGTTTAAAGCTCTTTTGAAAATGATCTTTACAACAGTTACGAAAACGATTTCAAAACGGTTATTGCTGATAAGCACAGGAAAATCTGCCCCTCGGGCACAAATACCACAGTATAAGAGGTAAAAAGGCAAATAAATATGCAAGATACGCACATAAAAGTTCTCCCCTCGGGCAATATCTCAACACAGTACCAGCCCCTCGGGCTCACTCTCAGAAAACACTCTCAGCCCCTCGGGCTCTCTCTCTCAGATCACTCTCAGAACAGTATCATGTAGTAACCGCTGCGGCGTGCAGCCCGATCCACATATCGCTGCGGCGTGCAGCCCGATCCATAGCTCGCTGCGGCGTGCAGCCCGATCCATATCTCGCTGCGGCGTGCAGCCCGATCCATATGGGTACCCGCGCTCACTGTGGGGGTGGAGACTCCGGAGGGGCTCCTACAGCCCAAGCGCTATATCACTGCGGCGTGCAGTCCGATCCAATATATATATATACCGCTGCGACGTACAGCCCGATCCATATAAGTATCGCTGCGGCGTGCAGCCCGATCCATATATAACTCTCACATCCAGGCCCTCGGCCTCATATCACTCAGTGTATCCTCACATCTGGCCCTCGGCCTCACTCAGTCAGAATAGCATCACAAGCCCCTCGGGCATTAGTAAAACAGTAGTTCTCAGCCCAAATTATCATTTAAAATATCATTTAAGACTCAAATCTGAGTAAAAGTGGCTGCGTTGTAAAATAGTGGAGAAACAGTATGACTGAGTTCAAGTAATTAGTCAAAACAGTGAGGAAATAGTGAAAATAATCCCCGAAGGATTCAAATAGTTGTCACGAAGCCCAAATATGGCAATCAGCCCAAACAACAGTGATAACAAATAAATTCCAGTCAAATACGCAGTAAATTCATCAATCGGGACGGACCAAGTCATAATCCCCAGCGGTGCTCTACCCCACGCCCACTATCCGGCGTGCAAGTCACCTCAATTTAGCACTACGATGTGCAATCCGGGGTTTAAAACCCTCAGGATATCATTTACAATCATTACTCACCTCGATCCGGTCCAAACTCTAGCCCGCGATGCCTCGCCCGCACGAATCGACCTCCGGATGCTCCAAATCTAGCCACAATCAGTACATAATCATTAAAATATGCCAAGGGAGCGAAGCCCACTCGAAAATATCCAATTTAACATCAAAATCCCGAAATTGCTCAAACTCGGCCCCCGGGACCACGCTTTGAAATCCGACGAAACTTACAAAATCTGACAACCCATTCAACCACGAGTCCAACCATACCAAAATTACTAAATTCCGATAACAATTCGGCCTCCAAATCTTCAAATCTTATTTTCAAATCCCTAGGTCCAAATCCCCAATCTACACCTCAAAAACATGTAATCTAGTTGGATAATTCGATGATAATTCNATGTGCATTTCTGGACTGAGCAGGGATCGGGCTGCGCGCCGCAGCAGTGACTTGAAACAGTGGTAACAATGACACTGTATGATGTGACTTGAAACAGTGGTAACAATGAAACTGTATGATGTAAATTGGTCAGGTAACAATGACTGACCGGTCAGGTAACAATGACTGACCAGGAATGTGATTGACGCCACGAGATGGCTTGATATTGCGCTTGGGCTGTAGGAGCCCCTCCGGAGTCTGTACACACCCCCAGTGAGCGCCGTTGACGTTAAATACATGGTTGGCTCGGACTGCACGCCGCAGTGGGTACCTGAGTGTACCGGTCATGTGCATTGCATTGCATTCATGCATTGGTTCCTGTTTGTACTATGTGGCATGACATTCAGCACTCTCATATCATTGGCATCCATGCCATTTCTTGCATTGGTTACCAGATACCCTGGTGTTATTTGTTAATGGAGTGATGTGCCCGAGGGGCTGACTTATGTGCGGACTTGCACTTTCTGATTACGCATTCATTTGCTTAACTGTTGGAAAAAGGTATTTTTAAAAGAGGTTTTTAACTGGGTCCATATATTTTCTAAAGGATTTTCACGGAATTACTATTTTTCTCAAGGATTTGCTCTGTCCCATATAGCATGATGAAGTGTTTTACGTGATTTCTTACCGTTCAGATATTATTTACTCTTATTGCTCACTGAGTTGGAGTACTCACTTTACTCCCTGCACCTCGTGTGCAGTTGCAGGTATTGTTCACCCAGTAGCGGGTTATTAGCGGATTGAAGGTATTGCCATTGTAGCTGAACAAGGTGACCGCCGGCGTTCGCGGCACCGGACTATGTCCTTTGATTCCCAAATTTTACTTTGTATATTATTTTGGTCCTTTAGCAGTGTGCAGTCTTCTTTAGATGCTCGTGACTTGTGACACCCCGGTCGGGTTTAATTGGGTTGTAAATATCCGTTATTATATTGTTAGGTTATATTTTTCTATTCATTTATGTCTAATAATTGTTAAGGTAACGAATTGGAGTTAATTGGCTGGCCTTGTCTTCACGAGAGGCGCCATCACGACCGGGTATGGAAATTGGGTCGTGACAATATGAGATTAGAAAAAATTAGAAATTGAGAAAATATATGTATTTTTACATGGATTTTTAATGAAACAATAGTGTATGTATTTATTTTATATGATACCACATGACCATGGTAGTAAGTTGTATAAAGTATATTATAGTATGATATATAAAGTGTATTAAAAGTGATAGTATTTTAAGTAATTTGAGATAATTCTTAATTATGCGGGTAATTGTAATTATCTAAAATATTTGGATAAGACCACTACGTGGCAGATTTTTCCTTAGCAAAATTTGTGACTCTTACACTAATTAAAATATGTGACAAGAATTGAGATAGGAAATTTGGCAAAGCCTTAAGGACGTGACTCATTCCTCTTAATAAAGAAGAGTCCACTGTTTGCCTAGCTAATGTATATATTGTTTACTTTGGTTAATTTTTTCAGTTTTGACCAAAAAAGACAAGAAAAGTAGCAATGAAGTATTGTATTAATAACGGTTCTTATGTGGAGATGATATGGAGTTGTACGTACTTAGCTTTTTCTCAAGCTTTAAATTTTTCTTCTGTATGTTGTTGAAGGATCGGTTTTCCTGCTAAAGATCAGATGATTGACCTCTTTACAACATTGGTTTTTTTTTTCCTTCTTTTGTGTGGAGGATAACAGTAGAAAGTGAAGTTTTAGACATTAAAGAATAGTTATGGGGGAAGATGGACTTCATTGAGATTTTCTTCGGTTGGTTTATTTTGAAGTGGACATGTGAAATCTACAGTAAAATACCAGAGCCTGTCTAGAAAGAAAATCCAGGTATGTTAAGGCTATCCCTTCTTTCTTTTGGCATGATCCAAGTAACGATACGTAACCGTAATGTTATTCCATAAGTGGTTCTACTCTTAGCAGTTAAGGATGTTTATGTTGTTCATTCCCGTAAAGTGATATTCAAGCATGTCTAAGTATGTATCTAGTTCCCTATTGAGGTATTTAATAAAGATGTTAATATTTATAATATAGTAATACATGCATCTTCATGCATATGCATTTACCACCGAGCTACGGCCGGTTGGGGCAGTTACATATTTACCACTGTGCTACGGCCGGTTGGGCAGTCATACATCTTCATTTACCACCGTGCTATGACCGGTTGGGCAGACATGCATTTACCACCGGGCTACGGCCGGTCGGGCAGTTACCACCGGTTGAGCAGTTATGCATCATTATTTATCACCCGTTGGGCAGTCAAACATTTACCACCGTGCGAAGGCCGGTCGGGCAGTTACCACCGGTTGGGCAGTTATGCATCATTATTTACCACCGGTTGGGCAGTCATACGTTTACCACCGTGCGAAGGCCGGTCGGGCAGTTACCACTGATTAGTTGGGCAGTCATGCATCATAAGATATGGATAATAGTCTTAAAGAGAGGCATTGTATATATATCAGTATGATAAGTATGGAGATAAGGTGGCACTTCAGAGATTCAGGTTGATTCTTATACATCGTTAATTAATGTTGACTTATTCTTATGTTTCAGTTCTGCCTTACATACTCATTACATTATTCGTACTGACGTCCTTTTGTTGGGGACGCTGCATTCATGCCTGCAGGTATAGATAATCAATTTGACGAGCCCTCATAGTAGACGAGATTGGCATTCAGCGAAGGATCGATAAGACTCCACCTCATTCGGAGTGCACCCGAGTCTATGAGTCATCGTGTCAGAGTTTTTCTACAGACTTATGGGTAGGCCGGTACCCTGTCCCATTTGATGTCAAACAATCTTAGAGGCTTTGTAGATAGAGGTTCACTTTGTACAGTATGTCAGAGGCCTTGACTGCCC